CACCACTGGTTGTGCCTTAGGCTGTAATTCTGCTGTTCACTGGATGTCACAGGTGATCTAATGTTTAATACAGGATTTGAGATAGATTGTTTTTCTTTATGATAGTGGCAGAGCTCATGTAGGTAATTTTTACTGTTAACATCAATCCAATTCCTTAATATCCATCATTGGAGAAATTAAAAAATTAATCCTTTGAAAATAGTTCCTAGATCTGTGGTGGTTGTGTATTTTTCACAGTTCCCAGGGGCAATGTGATAACTATGTTGCACAATGACTATATTCATTTAGTTATTTAATTCATCAATATTTATTGGGTGTCTATTATATGTTAGCAATGGTATTTGGTATGCAAGATACAAAGAAAAGGTATGACATGGTTCCTGGTCCAAAGTTCTTTTACACTAGTGCAAAGATGGACACATTTACAAACACTTCAGTTCACTTGCTTGTAGAGCAAGAATGAAGTGCTATCAGGCTCCGAGGATGGTAAACTCTACCTTAGTGGTAGACAGTCATGGTCAAGAAGAGCTTCACGTAAAAAGCATTACATCATCTCAGAAGACAAGGTTTATGTGGAAGAGAAAGTAAAAGGAGAATTCCCAGTAGAGAGGCTGCCTGCGCAAAGGGAAAGGCATGGAGTGTATGATGGGGGGTTGGAATAAAAGTAGGAAATGGAAGAAATGGGATTGGGCAGGTAGCAAAAAACATCATGACCAAAGACCTTGTATAATATACTTGAAGGTGTTGACTTTATCAGATATCATTGGACGACTTTAATATGGTTAGATTTGCCTTTGAGAATATTCCGACGACAGTTTGGAGATGCACTAGATGAGAGGAGAACACGACATAGGGAGGCCTGTCATCAAGTTGCAAGACTATTTTCATATCCACTTTATAGGTGATAAGGATGTGATCTCAAGTAGGGCAGTGGACACAAAAGGGAGAACTCAGATTGGAAAATAACTTAGGAGGTAAAATCAAAAGGCTTTGGTGGCCAACTGAATGTCTAGACACGAAGGAGAGACTTTTTGTTTTTGAAACAGAGCCGAGGGAAGTGCAGTGGTGCCATTTTGGCTCACTGCAACCTTTGCCTCCTGGGTTCAAGTGATTCTTATATATCAAGACTTCCAAGTAGCTGGGATTACAGGCATGTACTACCACACCCAGCTAATTTTTGTATTCTTAGTAGATGTTGGCAGGGCGGGTCTAGAACTCTTGACTTCATGTGATCCATCCACCTCAGCCTCCAAAAGTGCTGGGATTACAGGCATGAGCCACTGTGCCCAGCCAAACGGACTCTTGATTTAAAGCCAGCATATATACCAGCAGCTGTAACAGTCCACCATGTAGAACCTCCTTCAAGTCTTCATTGGCAATTCAAAAAAAATTATTCTCTATGTTAGTCCGTTTATTTATGGTGCTATAAAGAACTGCCAGGGACTAGGTAACTTATTAAGAAAAGAGGTTTAATTGACTCACAGTTTCACATGGCTGGGGAGGCCTCAGGAAACTTACAATCATGGCACAAGGCACCTCTTCACAGGGCAGCAGGAGAGAATGAGTGCTGAGTGAAGGGGGAAGCCCCTTTTAAAACCATTGGATCTCATGAGAACTCACTATCATGAGAACAGCATGGGTGGAAAAGACCCCTATAATTCAATTACCTCCCACTGAGTCCCTCCCATGACAGATGGGGTTTGTGGGATTACAATTCAAGATGACATTTGAGTGATGATACAAAGCCAAACTATATCATTCTTTAACAGCTCTTAAAGGAAAAGATGAAAGTGATAAATCTGCTGGGGCAAAAAGAGAATTCACTTTAAGGAAGCTTTGGATTTGCTTTTCTTCTCTATTTAGCTGTCCAAAACCAACATGGTCCACTAACTGAAATTATGTAGATGGAGGTAATGATGAAGCCAGAGCATTGTGGTCTTAATCTCTAGATCATTGCTTCTCAAATTCACTGTGCTTACAGATCAGCTGGGCATCTTGTTAAAATGCAGATTCTGATTGAGTAAGTTTGATTCTGTGAAGTTTGGGAGTCCACCTATCTAACCAATTCCCAGGTGATGCCAATGCACTTGACCACAATTTGAATGGCGAGGCTCTAGCTTGTTTCACGAAATGGGAAATACATCTTCTTAGTCAAACAAAAGAACTGCAACCAGATTGCAGTGACAGAGGAAAACAGCACCTCTCTCAGATTATGCTGCTGATACTGCTGCATATCTTTTTGATCTTGCTTTCACATATTGTCTGGGTGTGGCCACTCAAAATGGTGTCTGTCCCAAGATGAGAGCCAGTAACATTATATACACTCTCAGCAAATAAGATTATTGTGGTGACCTGAAAAGAGCCACAACGAGTTTTCTCACTGTGCTGGCCCAGGCACGTCCCACTGAGTAATCAAGCCCTGATTAAAATCTGAAAGTAACTCCAACCTACTGGCCCTCAGAAAGTCCTACTTAGACAAAATGGAGTAGAATACATTTTGTTAAATTTGCTATCGGGTTGAGAAATATTTGAAGCTAAGAATTACACAAAGCTATCTGCAGAAAGCATTTTGGAGATTTCCCAAAGAACTTAAAACAGAATATTCAACCCAACAATCCCATTATATATATACACATAATACAGGAATATAAATTGTTCTACCATAAAACCCACATGCAGATGTATGCTCATTGTAGCACTATTGACAATAGCAAAGTTTAAACAGAATTAACTAGATATCCAAGTAAATGTACATATGTGCCATGGAATATTATGCAGCCATAAAAAAGAATGAAATCATGTTCTTTGCAGCAAAATGGAAGGATCTAGAGGTCATTATCCTAAGCAAACTCATGCTAGAACAGAAAACCAAATATCACATACTCTCTCTGGTAAGTGAGAGTTAAATGTTAAATACACATGAACACAAAAAAGGGAACATTAGACATGGGGTCTACTTGAGCTTGGAGGGTGGAAGGATGTTGAGGATCAAAAAACTATTGGGTACTAGGCTTGGTACCTGATTGTTTGCTGAGAGTTTTAATCATAAAGGGATGCTGGATTTTATAAAATGCTTTTTCTGCATCTGTTGAGATGATCATGTGATTATTGTTTTAAATTCTGTTTATGTGGTATATCACATTGTATTAGGATTCTCCAGAGGGACAGACTAATAAGATACACACACACACACACACACACACACGCACACACACACACACACACATATGATGAAACAATCTATGCACTAAACCCCCACAACACACAATTTACCCATGTAACAAATCTGCACACATTCCCCTGAACGTAAATGTTGGAAAAAAAAGCAAAGAATATAATGAAAATAAAAATAAATGCACAGCATAAAAAAGCTGTCTGTAGCAATCGCAATATTTGTATACCTGTCACAGAGAAAAGCAAGACTAGAAGTCTGTAAACTGGCTACTTCTTCACTTATGAGTCAGCACTCATCCACATTTGGGCTCTACTCACTGACCATGTTGGGCATAAGTTTTGGTTTGTTTACATACGTCAGCTCTTTAATCATGACAGCATAAGTGCTAGGAATCAGGACCAGATGCTGGGGTTAGCATTGCCCAGTGGGAGACTGGCACTGACAAGTGGCTTTGGGTGGCTCAGTCCCAACCTGGCCTGCTCTGGTTGCCTGAAATAGAGAGGAAAGGTTGCAGGAGGGAGACTGCAGTAAATTCTGAAACAGATGAGTCTGGGATAAGGAAAAGTACTGTCTTCGGAAACAGGAAACAAATTTCAGCTCAGTAACAGTTGGTTACGTAATTTTGGAGAAGTCATTTTGTCTTTCTTGGTCTCAGTTTCTCTTTTTGAGAAATGAGAAGGTAGGCTATGTCTGTGGTCTTCAAACCGTTCTCTGCAGAGCCCTGCAGGTTTCATGGAGGTACCAGGAGAAGTGGGTGAGACCTACCCAGTTCCTTTTCCCTCTGAATCATGTGAGTTGGTAGGTCCCCAACGTATTATAGATGCCCTTGGTCCCTGGTGTCATGGTAACATTTTCTAGTCCATAGAAGTGTTCCCATTAGTGAGATTATCTATATCTGTTTTGAACTTTGTACAAGAGTCCTTTCTATACTCAGGACTGATAAAACACTGGAGGATAAGAAGCTATTACAGTTACTATAATGCTGCCCTCAGAAATCTTATGATCACAGATTACACACATGAAAAATACTTAGAAGAAAGCTTGTTAACTATGAATGTGACAGCATCTGGCTATTAGATCTCAGTGGTATAACTCATCTTAAGGAAATTGGTTGATTTCTGAAAAATCATCTGCAATATTAATTTTAATAAACCAACCCAGAATTGACATCCCTTTAAAAATGCACTTATTTAAATTCCTGGACCATACGCTGGGATTGCTTAACTTGTGCAACTACTGGGCTTGTCTTTGTCTGAAAATATTTACTCTTAAGTAGACTATAATATTAGCAATTCTTTTAAAAGAGGTTTGCTTGTTTCATTAGTCATGACTGTGTTTTACATGTGTTAAAATTGTTTCTGCAGACTGTGTGAAAAGGATGTATTATTATACTATTGCTTCTCTAACCCTGATTGTCTTAAGGTGAGTTTCCTCTGGCAGGATGTGCAGGTATCCAAGTGCTGAAGCATCTAGCAGCAACATTCAGTCAAAGTGGCTATTTATATGTAACTTGTACATACACTGAAGAGCTTTAAAAAGGATTTCCCTTCATAGCAGTGACTTGAAAACAGCAGGTGTACTTGTTGAATGACTGAATGACGATTCATTCATTTATTTAACCCATGAAGATGACCCCATTGCAAAGCTCTGTATGAGTTTCTGTTTTCTTTAGAGAATTGAAATGAACCTGTGCATCTCCTAATAGCTATACTTGTATCTTGATTCGCTTGGCCAGCTGGGGCTTTATATTTATGTGACTTAGAAGATCAACCTTCATGTGGCAGAGGCTACACAATGTCACTCCATTGTTCTGATTCCTCAATAGGATTCTCCCCTCTTTGGCTCTTCCCTGGACCAAGGACAGAAGAATCATTCAACACACACGCTATGGGCAAAAGGGGCATATTTGGGGCAAATAGGGGTAAGTCATGATTAGTTCATAGAAACTTAATTCTCAAAAAATACTATGAAATCTAGGTTTTTTAGAAAGTGGTTCTTTAAGTGGTTCTTAAATCTAGGTTCAATATAGTGGTTCTTTATTAGATTATGTCAGAATATACAGTGTATGTGCACGGTTTTGAATTTGTTTAGTTTCTTTTTCATGTTAAAAACAAACACCTGATTGGAATTTGATATCAGAAAATTAGTAAATTGAGCTCAGCTCCCCATGGGCTTGAGAACATCTTTAGACAGTAAGCTTCCATGGGGAACTGGCATTGTAAAGCATGGTATAAGAAAAAGGTGACTTGCAAACTGATAGATTCTAGGAAATCTGCTCTGAAGCTCTAAGGGTAAATAGGTCCAATTCACTCACTTAACTAAGAAAAATACAGGTAAAGTAGCACAAGGCACTACTGGGAGAGCGGAACAAAGGACTGGGGTTTTCTTCTTATTTGAGCTTGAGGCTCTTTGGAGCTCAGCATACCATTCACAGATGAGGACAGCAATATCAGCTTCTCACTTGTCAGTGATCTTTAGAGTTTATTGAGATAATAATGATGACAGCTTGACAAAGACAAAAGTATCACAGCCATAAATGGCTCACCATGATATGGCTATTGCAAAGGCACAAGCCACACAGACCATTGTTTAAATATCAAACTCTGTTACTTACCATAGTAAGTACTATCCTTTGAGTAAGGCATCACATTTTCTGAGCCACAAAACTGCAGCTTCACTTTTAAAATGGAGATAAAGTTGTTGGGAAAACGTGTAAGTATTTAAATATGTAAAAGGTCATACATTGCCATGGAATATTCAATTTCTGGTTATCATTGTCATCATCACAGGTAAGAAATAAGAAGTCCAGTGGCTCACACCTGTGATTCCAGCACTTTGGGAGGTTGAGGTGGGCAGATAGCTTGAGCCCAGGAGTTCAAGACCAACCTGAACAACATGGGAAAAAACCTCATCTTTACAAAAATACAAAAATTAGCCAGGTGTGATGGTGCATTCCTGTAGTCCCAGCTACTCTGGAGGCTGAGGTGGGACGATCGCTTGAGCCCAGGAAGTCAAGGCTGCAGTGAGCCATGATTGCCCCACTGCACTATAAGCTTGATGATAGAGTGAGACCCTGTCTCAAAAAAAAAGGTCATTTTCTTTTTTTTTTTAGAATTTTGAAAAAAATTTTTTTTTCATTATACTTTAATTTCTGGGGTACATGTACAAATCTTGCAGGATTGTTACAAAAGTATACACTTGCCATGGTGGTTTGCTGCCTCCATCCCCCTGTCCTCATCGTTAGGTATTTCTCCCAATGTTATCCCTCCCCAATCTCCCCATCACCTGCTATCCCTCCCCTAGCCCCCACCACAGACTCCACTGTGTGGTGTTCCCCTCCCTGTGTCCACGTCGTGTTTATTGTTCAACACCTACCTATGAGTGAGAACATGCGGTGTTTGGTTTTCTGTTCTTGTGTCAGTTTACTGAGAATGATTGTTTCCAGACTCATCCATGTCCCTGCAAAGGACATGAACTCATCCTTTTTTATAGCTGTGTAGTATTCCATGGTGTATATGTGCCACATTTTCTTTATCCAGCCTATCATTGTTGGGCATGTGAGTTGGTTCCAGGTCTTTGCCAGTGCCAAAATGAACATATGTATGCATGTGTCTTTATAGTAGAATGATTTATAATCATTTGGGTATATACCCAGTAATGGGATTGCTGGGTCAAATGATATTTCTATTTCTAGATCCTTGGGGAATGGCCACACTATCTTCCACAATGGCTGAACTAATTTATACTCTCACCAACAGTGTAAAAGCATTCCTATTTCTCCACATTCTCTCCAGCATCTGTTGTCTCAAGATTTTTAATGATTGCCATTGTAACTGGCATGAGATGGTATCTCAATGTCGTTTTGATTTGCATTTCTCTAATGAGCAGTGACAATGAGCATTTTTTTCATATGTTTCTTCGCCACATAAATGTGTTCTTTTGAAAAGTGTCTGTTCATATCCTTTGCCCACTTTTTGACGGGGTTGTTTGTTCTTGTAGATTTGTTTTAGTTCTTTGTAGATTCTGGTTATTAGTCCTTTGTCAGATGGGTAGCTTGCAAAAATGTTTTTCCATTCTGTCGGTTGCCGGTTCACTCTAATGATTGCTTCTTTTGTTGTGCAGAAACTCTTAAGTTGAATTAGATCCCATTTGTCTATTTTGGCTTTTGTTGCCAATGCTTTTGGTGTTTTAGGCATGAAGTCCTTGCCTATGCCTATGTCCTGAATGGTATTGCCTAGGTTTTCTTCTAGGGTTTTTATGGTGTTAGGTCTTATGTTTAAATCTTTAATCCATCTGGAGTTAATTTTTGTATAAGGTGTCAGGAAGGGGTCCAGTTTCAGCTTTCTGCACATGGCTAGCCAGTTTTCCCAACACCATTTATTAAACAGGGAGTCCTTTCCCCATTGCTTGTTTTTGTCAGGTTTGTCAAAGATCAGATGGTTGCAGATGTGTGGTGTTACTTCCAAGGCCTCTGTTCTATATCTGGTCTATATCTCTGTTTTGGTACCAGTACCATGCTGTTTTGATCACTGTAGCAAAGTCATTTTCTAAGCATTTGCTGATTCAATAGGTATTTTGAGTGCCCAGTATGTATACTGACAATTAGATATAATTTAATTTCAGTTTATGGTATGAGTGGAGACCAAATGAAATCATTTTAATGCATATTAAGGAAATATAGTGCCCTTAAATAAAAAGTTGAAGTTCATAAGTGACCATCATTAAGATTTAACTTGGTCACAAATATTTTGTTTTTGTTTGTTTTCTTTTTAGATTTGCATAATAAAACATTCATATTCTTGCCCAGTCTTCCTTGTGATGAATAACATATTTGGAAGATGGCCGCACTGTGGAACAAAGCCAGAACCCGGCTAATGAAGGGTGGGCTCCTTTTAGTGTCTAACTGTGGTGTATAGAGTTTGAATTTTATTCTATATGAGATGAAACTCATTTGAAAACTTCGAGCAAAGGAGTATCATGAACTAAATTTACTTGAAGAGGCTTATTCAGCTGATATGCAGAGAAGATATTGTAAAAGGGGTCAAGCTGACAGCAAGGGAAACCTTTGGATAGTTATTGCATTAATAAAGGGGACATGTGACAGTGGTTTGAACTTAAATGGCTGTGGTGGAAGGTGGTGATAAATCATCAGATTCTGGATCTGATTTGAGGGTAGAGCTTCGGAATTTGCTGGTAGATTCTAGGGTGGTGTGAGAAAAGAGAGGAGTCAAGGTTAACTCCAAGGATTTTGGCCTCAGCAATAGAAAAAATGATGTTACCACTTTCTAAGATGAAGACTGGAGTCAAGAAGAACAAGTTTCAAAGGGAATAGTAAGGGTGTAGTTCTACCCAGTTAAAATTTGAGATGTATATTATATACTCAAGTGCAGGTGCAGAGGGACAATTGGATGTATGAATGTAGAAGCATTGGTGCAGGAAATAGAAATTTGACAATCATTGGCATATAGATGGTATTCGGTATCAAGGGACTGGAAGAGATCACCTAAAGAGTGAATGTAGAGAGGGAAAGATGAAATTTCAGAGACCGAGCACTAGAGTGCTTCAGCCTTAGAGATCAGGATGGTGAGAAGGAACCAGAAAAGGAGAGCAAAAAGACCGACGGGAAGGAGAGCCAGGAGAGTGGCATCTCAGAGACGAGGAAAGAAAGTAAGGAAGAAAAGATGTCTTAAGGAAAAGGAATTGGTCAGCTGTGTCAAGTGACACTAGAAAGCCAAATAAGATGAAGACTGAGGCCTGATCTTTGGATTTGGGAAAGTGGAAGTTTCCTTGATAACCTTGAGAGAAGTGATGCTGAAGAGGGATTGGAAAGAGAATCTGATTGAAATGGGTTCAAAAAAGAAAAAAAGATAAATGGAGATAGAATAGACACGTATTTCACAGGTCTTACTCTAAAGGAGAGGACAGTGATGGTGGCGGGGGGGGGGGACGGAATGACGTGAAGAAAATGCTGGGTCTAAGCAGGGATGATATTAGAATAACTGTGGCATGGGCACTGAGGAGTCAGAAGGGATGCTGGCTATAGACCCTGGAGCAGGGTCTTGGAGGACCCTGCTGGCCCTTTGGTTTCTGGATTATAGGCTGTCCAGGAGGTCCCAGAGAAGAGGCTGTGTTGGAAAAGGTAGGAGGCAGATATTTGGGAGGCTCAGGGTAGCAGTGCTCACCAACCTATCCAGAAGTCTTCTGGTATTTTAGCAATCATCATAATAGTACCCATGGGTGCCAGCTGAACATCAGCCTTGGATCTGTAAAGAGTTGTGTTATTTTCTTTATTATCTTTATTTTTAAAGATGAGGGATATTGCAGCATTTTTAAATGATGGCGAGAATGACCAGAAGAGAAGGGAAGTTTGAAAGTCTGATGATGTAAGGGAACAAGGGGAGAGTGACAGGAGATGCTTGACTGGGCAAATGGGATGGGTCTTGTACACAAGCTAAAGGGTTGATTTTGATAGAAACACGGCCTCGTTGTTTATCCCAACAGGAAGGAGCACAGAGGGCAGGGGTGCAGGTACAGCTCAGCTGCTTAGTGGTGGGAGATACAGGGCATATGGAATTTCTTTCCCAGTTTTCTCTGTGAAAGACAGGAAATGTATTCATATCCATTTTTTTTCTCTTCCTCAGGATCACTACCTATGCACAATGTAACTGAGATTCATGTAGAATTCTAGCGAAACTCTGGTTACTAGGCCAATTTTTCATTCAGAATCTGTCTACTCACTACCTATGCACAGTGTAACTGAGATTCATGTAGAATTCTAGGGAAACTCTGGTTACTAGGCCAATTTTTCATTCAGAATCTGTCTACTAGGGAGACTTTCATCTGTGGGGCTTCAGTTCCATCTCATTCCATGGATGATGATCAGAGCCCCCTCTCTTTTTATTAAGAGCCAGATAATTTAAA